GACAAAATGTTAATAAGAAACTTAATGTAACGAATAACGAAAATTACAAGACCAAATTGGTATAATGAATTAATTGAAATAAATAATTACCTTAGCATTTGTCCTGAAACAAAGTTTTCGATATGAATGTGGTCAGTTTCATAATGAATAATTTGCATTATGGGCCCTTTTTTGTCTCTTACTAAAAGTATTTTTTGCATTTTTATTGTTCCTTCTTGGATGGACACCAAAGATGCTTAAATGAAAAACTTTACTGGAGTTTCTTTCGCGATTTCGTTTAAATTATTGTTAATTTTTAGGAGCATTTTTAAAATGGGTGTTATTTTAAGGTTAACTAACTCTTACCAATTATTTCGTAAAGACAGAGACGCTCTTTGTAAACTTTGTTCCATTTTATTGCCCTTTCTACTGTTCCAGTTAGCACACGAGTTACATTTATTTTTGTTTTCTAACAAATACGAAAAGGTCAGTAACAAAGTAAAATTTAAATAAAGTTAAAAGTTACGCTGAAGTCTTGTTTACACAAAAATAATTACCACGGATGTTGATGGATTATTGTCATTAACACTGAGTCTTTTTGTTGCATTTTCTTCAGATTTAAAATTTGATTCATTTAATTTTAACATTTTCCTGGTATTTTCAACCTTTACATCAAATGTATTGGTTGTATTTAACGGTGGAAAGCCAGGAGTTTGGGGGGTAGGGAAATATTTTCTTTTAAGGGAAGACGTTTCTGAAATAGTCTCTTATAATTTTTTCTTTGTTTTATAATATTCGAAAATAGAATTAGAGAGATACCATAAAATATGTAACAACAGAATGTAAATATCTAAAATACGTATAACAGAATTTTTAGGTACCATTTTTGGGTACCTGCTGTAGTAAACTAAATTATAAGAAGGTAAAATCTGTCTCTTTATTAACGACCTTGGAAATTACCTACCCCAGAAATCGTAAACGTGACACTGCTAAAAGAGTAAGTTAAAAAACAAATGTTTTTTATTAATTAGGCTCCAACTTTTGAAACAATATTAATTCTTGAATGGAAAAGTTATAAACTTAACTTTACCTTCACAATTGCCGAACCTTTTTTTAAAATGAGAATTTACTGGCAAATACAAAGTGATTTATCTAACAAAAGTTGCCAATATGGCGGCCGCTGTATCGCATGGCGTCTTATTGTTACCGCAATTAAATTACAAAAAAAGTATGAAAATAAAAATTAAATACCTAACATTGGCATCGCAAAAGCTGATGTTGATGGCTGAGGAGGGACATAAGTAGAGTTATTATTAATATTTGATGCATAGTTAGTATTTGAATGTGATGCCTGCATTGTATCACAAAAAGCCCTATTAAAGGGCATTTTTTCTACAGGATGTCTGTTATAATTTAATGAATTCTGCTGTCCTGGCGGTCTACGTTTTGCCTGCTATATAAACAAATAAACACTTATACAGTTATTTTAGTGATAACATATTAATNAAAAACCTTGTTTTTCTTGGTCAGGCCGGAAACTTATCAATCCACCCTCGTAAAGTAGGTTGAATAATGATAAGCAAATCTACCTCTAACGACTAAAAAAATATCAAAATTAAACTGAAACAAAATAAAAAAAAAGAAACTTTACCACTTTATTCATCATAAAGGCTTCATATAACCCATAAACAAGCGCTACAGGGGTAAACATTTTCGTTCGAATACATAAGCAAACTAAAAGATGCATTTTCTAATTCGAAATGTTATTAATTTGTTAAAACAATAATGTTTTTTAATTATTGTAATAGTAATTTATTTACTAACGAACTAAATTTTTCTTAAACATATTTGGGTCAGTTTCAGAAGGCAAAGTCTGTAGCAAATTGTAGGATATAAGTTAAGTAAATTTACTCATTATATGACTTTATAACTTTATTGCAATATAAATAAAACATGTCTCTCGTTCTTATCACAATTACGAACCTTTAAACTGATACAAAATACTAATCGAGGATAGTGGAATGGCTCATCTTCGGTTCAATAATTAATGGCGAACCTCGCCTTCCGAAAATGACCCTCTAAAAACGAGGCGTTTTATTTCCTTTTCTTCAATTTTAAATTGGTATTGTGATTATAAAACACTAAATAATCTCACACTGATTAATATAACGATTAATAGAAAATTGGTTTTATCTACAGTGCGTTTACAAGAATTGCACAAATCGTCTTCACAATAACAGCAATCGATATTATCTATAGAACCGTTTTTGGAAAAACCGACAATTCTTGCCAACTGATGACAAAGTCCTGCACCTGCAGGGACGCATCCCCTTGCGATTTCATATTTAACATTCTTTTCATAATCCTCTTCCTGAATAATTTTGAAACAAGATCCCATTGCTACATCTGTATCACCCCCTCGATCGATTACTACGCAGTGTTCAATATCGAAAGTGTATTTTTGATTATTGCCGACTCTGCACTCTGACCATCGGGCAATTCTGGAGTCGCAGTTGTAACAGTTTAAAGGGGATGATGTTCTAAGAATAGACGTGAATGTTATCCAAAACTTCAAACCACAAATTCCGAGCTTCATGTTAAATTATTTATTAGTTATGTCAAAAACTTGTGACAACTGTATTAAATAAAATAAAATCGAAAAGCATCCCTAACCAAAAGTGGAATTTTCTGGATTAAATTGCTAAGATTAACATAAACTAAGTCGTTTTTAATAATATTTTATACGGAATTATTTCTATGAGAATGAGTTTTGTGAATAATATCATAAAATATACAACCTGGAGACATCACAATAAGATACAGGACGATTACGATCATTTATTAGGGAATTTTGAAATATTAATGCGAAAATTCATTTTTATTCCCTATACTTCACCTCCAATTTATGAGAAAAAATCGTTGCTGCTGTCTCATACGCTCTAATTAGATTGCTATTGATCTCTGCTGTCTGCGATAAAATTAAAAAATAGAAAGTTGTCATGTCATACATACCTACGTTTCTATAACTTTTTTTTGTAAAATAAGTAAGTCAATTATTGATATATTACATTAACATGTTGTTTGAAACATTAATAATTATTCTCATACTAGACAAAGGCTTGTGCATTAAATGCTATCTTTGTGACAGAAAATCGGGATTTACAGGATACGGTTGTCAAGCAAATTTTGATTACGTGTTCTACATCGAGGAAGATTGTTCTATGAAATCCTCTAAACCAAATGTGTGTTATAAATTGCGAGCCGAAAAATACGGAAAATTTTACTACGGCCGGGGATGTATTACTAAATATTTAGCCGCGAATGAGAACTGCAGTAGAATCAGTCGGTTTACTGAGTTTTCCGAAGAGGGTATGAAAGACATGCAATGTTACTATTGTGACGACGACTTGTGCAACACAACATCTAGAAAATCAGTGCATGATATTAAATATATATTACTTATCAGTTTATTAAGTTATTGTTTATTTATATATTTTTAAAAATTAACTAAGTGTCATGTAGATGGTATCGATATTAAATAGCAGTATTTACTTCTTGAGAAATAATTTTATTGATTGGTATCTATTGATCTTTCGCCGGGTTTCATAGTCAGTTTCAGGTTTAATGTACATATAATATGTCTGAGCTAGACCAGAAATGGTGTTCTAATGTACTTGGTATGAGTGGGTGGGTGGTGACGGTAGTTGGGGAGAAATGGGACAGTTGAAGACAATTCATGCAAGGGCGTCATTAGTTCCAGCGGTTGGAAGATGATATAGAATATGTTAGAAGATGAAAATACCACAAATGGCGCGGTAAACGCCATCTGTAGTACGATGCTACATTTTAGGATTACGTATGCTCCATCAAGGTCCATTCGAATTCGATTATAGTAACGTGTCTATCACGTTAAGGTTAGCTACCTACGCTGGGATTCGTTTCAGCAAGTAGATATCCATATATTTAAATGGACCTTGTTGGAGCATACGTAATCCTAAAACGTAGCACCGTATTACAGATGGCGTTTACCGCGCCATTTGTGGTATTTTCTAAAACGTGCTGTTAAGACAGCAAGTAAAAGTTGGTCTGTGTTCTATCGGAGCTGTCTGCGACGCGCTGATGACATCCAAAAGGATTGAAATCGCAATTCGCGTCTGACAGTTTCGACAGAATACAGACCACTTCGAATTATTTTATTAGGTTAGTAGAAGGTGATATAGGATAAGAATTGAAATAAATACGATTTGTAAAACGTTAATCTTTTACTACAAGAAAAAGAGTATCTAAATTAAAATATCAACTTCTTGGATTCCTTAAGAGCTGAAGTGATGCTGTTTTGTTTCAAAATTTCAAAGGCTGTCGTGTGTTGGAGCTGCTTTCTAACGTTTCGGTAGCACAGGTGACGAGCTCTGGAGCCTGCATCCAGTATTGGAGATGGAAGGACTTTTGAAGAAGTTCGCCACACGTGCTAACGAAACGTTACAAAGCAAGTCCAAGACACGACGGTTTTTAGATCCAAATCAGAACAGTATCAGTTGACCTACTGACCGCGAAAGCCATTACTAATCCTTAAGAATTTTTCGAATTCTTTCAGTGTCAGCGAAAATAAAATTCTAAATAGGAGTTCAGCAGAATCGTTCTCATTTAAACAGGTCGTGACCGAAGTTTTGGCATTCCATAGAAAATAATAATTTTGAGTTGGTATAGATGTTGATTAATTTTTCAATAATTTAGAGGAAAATTGGAACAGATTTGACTTTATTTTCATATGCCAAAAATGTATGAAGGACCTACCTATGGTTGATAATATGGGTTTCTTTTTAAACATATCCTTCGATGCTGCCGCTGGAGCAACTTCTCTAGAATTCAAAAAGTAAGCTTGCTTAGTACGCCTTTGATAGAAAACCATGAAAAAACCTCCCCCAATGCCCATGTTATGAGATAACACAATTCCCTCGCATAAAACAGTTGATATAATGGCGTCTACTGCAGAACCACCAAGTTCCAAAATACGCCTAAAATAAGACCAATAATATTATTTATGGGAATAATTTTGATTTCCATCTTCCCAGTGGACCAAGGACATACAAAACCTTACATTTTTACCTAAGCTTGAGCTCCAGGCGGATTTCCCTATCTTCCTTATGCATTTCTTATTGGATTTGATTAATAAGTAAACTAATACTGAATATTAATAAAATGTCGATGCTACTGGCACCAGTCATGAACAAACTGAATATGTGTATGATAGTAGGAGGGAACGACAGACAATACTTCGACGTAGGATACCTACCACAGTGAACCAAACAAGATGGATTCCATCGGGAAGAAGAAAACGTGACAGACCTCTAAGAAGATGGAGACGGTAGGATATTGATGCAGCCAAAAGAGCCCGCTACAAAAGGTTCCCTTTTTCTTTTTTAGATACAAAACCCTACATTTTTACCTGGATTTGAGCTTCAGACGGATTTCCCTATCTTCCTTGCGCATTTCTTACAGGATTCGATTAATAAGTGAACTGATACTGAATATTAATAAAATGTCGATGTTACTGGTACCAGTCATGAACAAACTGAATATGTGTATGATAGTAGGAGGGAACGACAGTCAATACCTCGACGTAGGATACTTACCACAATGAACCAAACAAGATGGATTCCATCGGGAAGAAGAAAACGTGACAGACCTCCAAGAAGATGGACACAGTACGATATTGATGCAGCCGAAAGAGCCCGCTATAAAAGGTTCCCTTTTTCTTTTTTAGATACAAAACCCTACATTTTTACCTGGATTTGAGCTTCAGACGGATTTCCCTATCTTCCTTGCGCATTTCTTACAGGATTCGATTAATAAGTGAACTGATACTGAATATTAATAAAATGTCGATGTTACTGGTACCAGTCATGAACAAACTGAATATGTGTATGATAGTAGGAGGGAACGACAGTCAATACCTCGACGTAGGATACTTACCACAATGAACCAAACAAGATGGATTCCATCGGGAAGAAGAAAACGTGACAGACCTCCAAGAAGATGGACACAGTACGATATTGATGCAGCCGAAAGAGCCCGCTATAAAAGGTTCCCTTTTTCTTTTTTAGATACAAAACCCTACATTTTTACCTGGATTTGAGCTTCAGACGGATTTCCCTATCTTCCTTGCGCATTTCTTACAGGATTCGATTAATAAGTGAACTGATACTGAATATTAATAAAATGTCGATGTTACTGGTACCAGTCATGAACAAACTGAATATGTGTATGATAGTAGGAGGGAACGACAGTCAATACCTCGACGTAGGATACTTACCACAATGAACCAAACAAGATGGATTCCATCGGGAAGAAGAAAACGTGACAGACCTCCAAGAAGATGGACACAGTACGATATTGATGCAGCCGAAAGAGCCCGCTATAAAAGGTTCCCTTTTTCTTTTTTAGATACAAAACCCTACATTTTTACCTGGATTTGAGCTTCAGACGGATTTCCCTATCTTCCTTGCGCATTTCTTACAGGATTCGATTAATAAGTGAACTGATACTGAATATTAATAAAATGTCGATGTTACTGGTACCAGTCATGAACAAACTGAATATGTGTATGATAGTAGGAGGGAACGACAGTCAATACCTCGACGTAGGATACTTACCACAATGAACCAAACAAGATGGATTCCATCGGGAAGAAGAAAACGTGACAGACCTCCAAGAAGATGGACACAGTACGATATTGATGCAGCCGAAAGAGCCCGCTATAAAAGGTTCCCTTTTTCTTTTTTAGATACAAAACCCTACATTTTTACCTGGATTTGAGCTTCAGACGGATTTCCCTATCTTCCTTGCGCATTTCTTACAGGATTCGATTAATAAGTGAACTGATACTGAATATTAATAAAATGTCGATGTTACTGGTACCAGTCATGAACAAACTGAATATGTGTATGATAGTAGGAGGGAACGACAGTCAATACCTCGACGTAGGATACTTACCACAATGAACCAAACAAGATGGATTCCATCGGGAAGAAGAAAACGTGACAGACCTCCAAGAAGATGGACACAGTACGATATTGATGCAGCCGAAAGAGCCCGCTATAAAAGGTTCCCTTTTTCTTTTTTAGATACAAAACCCTACATTTTTACCTGGATTTGAGCTTCAGACGGATTTCCCTATCTTCCTTGCGCATTTCTTACAGGATTCGATTAATAAGTGAACTGATACTGAATATTAATAAAATGTCGATGTTACTGGTACCAGTCATGAACAAACTGAATATGTGTATGATAGTAGGAGGGAACGACAGTCAATACCTCGACGTAGGATACTTACCACAATGAACCAAACAAGATGGATTCCATCGGGAAGAAGAAAACGTGACAGACCTCCAAGAAGATGGACACAGTACGATATTGATGCAGCCGAAAGAGCCCGCTATAAAAGGTTCCCTTTTTCTTTTTTAGATACAAAACCCTACATTTTTACCTGGATTTGAGCTTCAGACGGATTTCCCTATCTTCCTTGCGCATTTCTTACAGGATTCGATTAATAAGTGAACTGATACTGAATATTAATAAAATGTCGATGTTACTGGTACCAGTCATGAACAAACTGAATATGTGTATGATAGTAGGAGGGAACGACAGTCAATACCTCGACGTAGGATACTTACCACAATGAACCAAACAAGATGGATTCCATCGGGAAGAAGAAAACGTGACAGACCTCCAAGAAGATGGACACAGTACGATATTGATGCAGCCGAAAGAGCCCGCTATAAAAGGTTCCCTTTTTCTTTTTTAGATACAAAACCCTACATTTTTACCTGGATTTGAGCTTCAGACGGATTTCCCTATCTTCCTTGCGCATTTCTTACAGGATTCGATTAATAAGTGAACTGATACTGAATATTAATAAAATGTCGATGTTACTGGTACCAGTCATGAACAAACTGAATATGTGTATGATAGTAGGAGGGAACGACAGTCAATACCTCGACGTAGGATACTTACCACAATGAACCAAACAAGATGGATTCCATCGGGAAGAAGAAAACGTGACAGACCTCCAAGAAGATGGACACAGTACGATATTGATGCAGCCGAAAGAGCCCGCTATAAAAGGTTCCCTTTTTCTTTTTTAGATACAAAACCCTACATTTTTACCTGGATTTGAGCTTCAGACGGATTTCCCTATCTTCCTTGCGCATTTCTTACAGGATTCGATTAATAAGTGAACTGATACTGAATATTAATAAAATGTCGATGTTACTGGTACCAGTCATGAACAAACTGAATATGTGTATGATAGTAGGAGGGAACGACAGTCAATACCTCGACGTAGGATACTTACCACAATGAACCAAACAAGATGGATTCCATCGGGAAGAAGAAAACGTGACAGACCTCCAAGAAGATGGACACAGTACGATATTGATGCAGCCGAAAGAGCCCGCTATAAAAGGTTCCCTTTTTCTTTTTTAGATACAAAACCCTACATTTTTACCTGGATTTGAGCTTCAGACGGATTTCCCTATCTTCCTTGCGCATTTCTTACAGGATTCGATTAATAAGTGAACTGATACTGAATATTAATAAAATGTCGATGTTACTGGTACCAGTCATGAACAAACTGAATATGTGTATGATAGTAGGAGGGAACGACAGTCAATACCTCGACGTAGGATACTTACCACAATGAACCAAACAAGATGGATTCCATCGGGAAGAAGAAAACGTGACAGACCTCCAAGAAGATGGACACAGTACGATATTGATGCAGCCGAAAGAGCCCGCTATAAAAGGTTCCCTTTTTCTTTTTTAGATACAAAACCCTACATTTTTACCTGGATTTGAGCTTCAGACGGATTTCCCTATCTTCCTTGCGCATTTCTTACAGGATTCGATTAATAAGTGAACTGATACTGAATATTAATAAAATGTCGATGTTACTGGTACCAGTCATGAACAAACTGAATATGTGTATGATAGTAGGAGGGAACGACAGTCAATACCTCGACGTAGGATACTTACCACAATGAACCAAACAAGATGGATTCCATCGGGAAGAAGAAAACGTGACAGACCTCCAAGAAGATGGACACAGTACGATATTGATGCAGCCGAAAGAGCCCGCTATAAAAGGTTCCCTTTTTCTTTTTTAGATACAAAACCCTACATTTTTACCTGGATTTGAGCTTCAGACGGATTTCCCTATCTTCCTTGCGCATTTCTTACAGGATTCGATTAATAAGTGAACTGATACTGAATATTAATAAAATGTCGATGTTACTGGTACCAGTCATGAACAAACTGAATATGTGTATGATAGTAGGAGGGAACGACAGTCAATACCTCGACGTAGGATACTTACCACAATGAACCAAACAAGATGGATTCCATCGGGAAGAAGAAAACGNCCAAAGGAAGCAACTCCAACTGAAGATGGAAGGACCTTTGAAGATCTTCGCCACTGATGCTAGCGAAACGTTAGGAAACAACTCCAAAGGAAGCAGCTCCAACCGAAGATAGAAGGACCTTTGAAGAAGCTATCCACTCATGTTAGCTAAAAGATAGGAGGCAACTCGTTAGCGAAACGATACGAGGCAACTCCAAAGGAAGCCACTCCAACCGAAGCCAACCTTTATATCTGAATCAGGACAACATAAAAATACAAAATGCTTTTCTCAAAAAAGTATTTAAACACCTGTCAATATTTTTTTTAAATTTACACTCATAAATGTGAATTAAATATTAATAGTATAATTAATGTCAACAAAAAGTCTTTCGTGGTTATTACTCTCCAAATTGTTTCGAGTAATTGGTGGAAAATGATTCGACTTTTGTTGGCACTTTTTAAGGTGCCATTTCGGACAATTTCTTTTAAATAAAATTGTAGGTCTCGCTGAATATTTAGAGACTAAAGAAAATGGCTATTCAGCCCTTCATAGCGCGTTAATTTTGGCCAAATGTTTCCATACTCAACTTTGGGAAAACTCGAAATATGTAAGTCGTCAATTACCAGGAATTGGTAACGTACTGTCCGGTCAACTTGTGAACGCTGGAAAGACTTCTTTCCAATCGATTTTGGACTCGAATCCGCGAGATTTAGAAAGGGTAATAGACCAATAAAAAATGTAACAAACAAACAAACAAACAAACAACAAACAATAACATTTTAGATAATGAATCGAAAACCTCCTTTCGGGAACACGGTTCAGGACAAAGTAAAATTCTTTCCAGTTTACGAACTGTCTCTAGCGAAACAAGAAAATGGTAACGAAACTTTGATAACTATTACAGTAACATTAATAAATGCTGGCGATTTAAAAATAAATTCCACCATTAACCTTAATAGTTTCATGAATTTATTGGTCGGAGAACAAAATGAGAGTACCATTTATTTATACGAAAAATATGTGTAAGTACCTACATGGAACATAACAGAACTTTTTTCTATTAAAAACTTATTTTAGTCACACTAGCTTTTTGAAAGAACCGCGTATACAGAAACAAATTGTCATCCCTGTATCTGACGATGTGGGAGTTGTAAATGCACATTTTATTAGCGAAGATTTGGGTAATAAATAATGTTTTAAATTTAATTATGCGAGAATTTTATTCATCTTTATTACATTTTAGTTGGTATAGATAAAGAAGGGGTGTTCTTAGTGGGTTGTTTGTATTGAATAGATAGAAAATCAATTTGAATGTGTTGTATTAATTGTTAGGTAATTCTATATAGATAAATATTTAATTTACTTATTAATGATTATGTGTAACAAATTATAATTAACTCGAGAACTGTGCTTCTTCATAGACTTGTGATTGTGTTAACATCCTTTACAACAAGTTAAAGCATCCAAAAACAATTTTTTTAAAAGTAGTTAAATACAACAGAGAGAGTTTATATATTTTACTTAGTAATTTCGTTCTTTTCTGGTAAAGTTCCTTTTAAAACATTAGTAAATTAAAGACCAAGGAGTAATCATAAAAAATTTATTGTATCAAAAATAATTAATTAAAAGTACACTCTTATCGACTTAATACAATGACTGTGATAACTACGCTTAACTAAATAACTAGACAATTAGTTACGTCAATATACACATAAACTGATCATAATTTTATGACTCTACTTCAAAATCTTCAGTGTTTTCATCTCTATCGTCCATCATTTCCTATAAAAGAAGAAGAAACACATTTACCTTCAGTCAAATACAAAATAGAAAAGATAATCATTTGTAGAATACTAGTTTCAATCATTAAACTAAATTTAGAACAGAAATGTTAAACAATTCCTGCGCAAAAGAATCTATTTCAGAATTAAACGATTAGGAGCTTATTTTGGATTATAACTATTAATTTTGATATTTATTGCATTTCATAAACATACAATGTGAAAATAAAATATATATTACCCCAAATCCATTGCAAATACTGTTAATACAAATTGCATTATAAATAAGCCCCTGTTTTAGCCCCATATGAATAACTTACTTGTAGTACTGCTACTAATTCTTTGGCTTCATTCAGCATTTCTTTACAGATCTTGTTCTCTTCCTCCAGTGATTCAATAACATCCTTCAACCTTCCATTCTCTTCCAAACTTTCATCTAAGGCTACTTTCCGTTGCTCTGCTAATGTCTTCCAATAGTCAATTCCAGGTTCATCTGATATTAAATCTGCAGCTGTTATAACAGTCTCCCCAGTTTGCACTCCTTTATCTACCAAAATTACTGGTTTCTTTGCTTTAAACGTGCCTCCAGTTGAGTTTCTAAATAAGTTCATCATATTAGCACATCTATATAATGCACAATTAATTGTGGTTTCACTTACGCAGCCAATTTGGTATCTTTTACAGACTTTGAACGTCCAACGAGATTCTCTTTATCGATAGCAGATTCTTGGATTATTTTAAGGGTTTTTCTTGTATTTTTAATGTTTTCCTACAAATTTTAAACGGTCTATAACCTTACTTTCACATACAATTTATTAATACAACATACCTTTTCGTCGATGGAAGCTTTTCTATTCGACCTACTTGTACTTTCAGTTTTCATTGTGATAAATCTAAATGCAAGTTCTAATTTTCTTCAAGAAAGAAACATTAATGTTTTTGAAAACAGAACATTACTGTAAACATCAAAACCAGTAACACAATAACCTGACAAGTGCTTCCCCAATGGCATTTATTTCACCTAATCTTGGCGGTATTAAAACTATTAGCAAATCAGCTAACTGGTTTTGCGCATGGGCATTTGTAGTACTTATTTGAAATTTAAATAAAATTAATTGTTAATCAAATTTGCTTAATTGTATGAATTAAAATAGATGTTGAAGAATCCTTTATTGTAGACTAAAGTAAAAAGTGACATTTAAGTTGGCAGTGGAATAAAACAGTTGCCTTGCTTTTCACAACAATATTTTAACAATGCATTTCCATTGCTAAATTGTTCTTTGTATTAAATCAAGAAAATTATTATTAATCTGAAATTTATTGTTTGATAAGTTATTGTAATATGTTAATATGGATCTTGTGAGTACAAATCAACGTTTAATGTAAGTTTCTTTAGTCTCTTTATAAATTTAAATTAATAGAAATGTTTAGGACTTCTTATGAGTCTGAAAAGGATTGGTCTAGTTTTATTAGAGAAAATAATCTCCGATCAGTTGAAGAAATACCAGAAAATTACAGACATGTATTTTCCAATTTCACACATTTTAATAAAATTCAATCGAAAGTTTTCGATGATATTTATTACACAGGTTTGGTTCAATTCAATACCTATGCTAATTTTTTTTTTAAATAACTAGTAAATAATATTTTAGATCACCCAGTGGTGATTTCTTCTCCTACGGGATCAGGGAAAACAGTTCTTTTCGAACTAGCCATAATTCGTTTTTTAATCAATTTAGAACTAATTAACAGACCTAATGCATACAGAATGGTTTACAGTGAGTTTGAAAACAATTTTTCAATTTCGTGTTGTTCATTACAAATATTAATTTATTCTTGTAGTTTCCCCATTAAAAGCACTTTGCGATGAAAGACTTATAGATTGGCACGATAAATTTAATTCGCTGGGGGTAAATTGCATTTCGGTGACAGGGGACAATGAAAATTACGATTTGTATAATTTGAAAAATTTTGCTTTAATTATAACAACCCCTGAAAAATGGGATTCTTTGACAAGGAAATGGAGAAATAATAAAATTTTGATGCAAAGTATAAAATTGTTTATGATAGACGAAGTCCATTTACTTAATGAAGATAGTAGGGGTTCTACTTTGGAAGTAGTGGTAAGTTTATTTAATAATTATTTGTTTGTTTAAATATTTGGTTATTTTTGGAAGACACAAACAATTTTAACAACATAAACTTAAATATTTGGGTAATGTAAAGCATATATTGCTGTCTATTTTGTTATTATAATAAACATTTTAAATGAGGACTAATAAGTAATTAATACTAATTACGTAGGTAATAATTATTGGTAATAGGTTTATAATTATGTAGTGTGTATAATAAATGCAGATATTGAGGATAAATAGTTAGTACCCTGGCAACTTTTAATTTTTTATTTTAAATTTTAATCGAAATAATTTACAACTTTTTTAATTGAACTATATTACATACATATACAGATAACTCCTGATATTAATTCTATTGATTTATATATTCTATCGAGTGCAATTAATATTGAAACTTTTGAATTTTTTTTGACATATTTTTAATTACTTATTGAAAAGTATCACAAACTTTTTGGTTTATAATAATTACGTATTTATGGTTGCAAATAACACCATTTAAAATATCTTAGTAATGTAAAGCTAAATATTACAAATAATTTTGCACCTTTTATAGTTTTAATGAATTTGGTTTTAATTTTTTCAACCATTTCGAACATTTGATTTAATAAAAGTGTCAAAACTTAATAATAATTTTTTCAACGCAATATTTATCTATCTATCGTAAAATTTGAGTTTTCAAAAAACAAATTAC